ATCTCCTCTTCCATAATCGTTCTGGATGGCCATTAGAATATATTCTCTCTGACATCCCTTGGCTTTCTTGCACAGTCCTCTCTTTCTCTTTCCCACGGAGGACTTTTCAGAGTGGAAGCTCATTGGGGCAGAGAATTGGCTTTTATTCTTGTCTCTCTCAAGGATCTTATCTCTGAAGAATCTATTAATGATTCAGGAGATGTTTCTTTTCTCTCTCGGATGTATGGGATGGATGTGGACTTCAGCAAATAATACGTTCCCTGTTCTCTTGGGAAGACGGTTAGGCAAGTCTCTCCAATGTTTTTACTCTCTGAAAACTGGAGGTTTTTTTAATGTTTTGACACAGGAACATAGGCAAGTACCATAATGGCTAATCTACCACAGTACTGTTTGTTCTAACAGGAAGCAGCTTCCCAGGATTTCAGACCCGAGAGGCTTTCCTCGGCTTGCTTGAATATGTCAGAGATTGACACTTAAGGCTTCCATATGCAAAGTGTTTGTTCTTTCATGGAGATGTGCCTCCTTCTCAGCTTAACTAACCTGGCAATAAGAGGTAGGAGAAGCACTGCAGATGTTTTGGTACTTACTTAGGTGATCCCTCGTTGTCTGAGTAGGATTGTGTTCCAAAATCGGTGTACTGGCAGTGGGTCCATAGGTGCCTGTGGAGCCCTATTCTTGACCTGCATCTTCTCCCGCAGTGAGGAGGGCATTGGTTTCCAGGTGGAAGGCCTGCATACTATTTCCTATGTACTTTGTTATATAGATATCTGTGCTCTAAGGATTCCCCTATTCTATAAAATGACACCATCAAGCGGTTTTTGTTGTCTTTTTTGGAAAGTGTTTGAGGAGAATATTTCAAACCGTGGATGGTGGAATCTGCAGATGCAGAATCCGTGGATGCGGAGGGCCGGCAGTAGTCCAATTAAAAATGCCACTGCACAGGCTAAAAGTAGCCAGCAAGGAATCACTGTGCCAAAGAGTCTTGTTTCTCAAAAGCTGTGGTGACTATTAAACTAATCAATTCAGGAAAATTTATTTATTTACTTTACTTTACTTTACTTTACTTGTATACCGCAGTTTCTCAGCCCAACAGGTGACTCAACGCGGTTTACAACAAGGATAAAAAACAATCAGCGATGTACAATTTAAAATCATAAAAGCATAATATACAATATTGAACAACCATAAACAACACAATACATCTCATAACTGGAGTCGTGATCCAATCCGTCGTCCAAATTTCCATTCCTGTAATCATCACGTTCATTGCACTGTTGATCCGAATGCCCGTTCAAACATCCAAGTTTTTAATCTTCTTCGGAACACCATTAGCGAGGGGGCTGATCTTACCTCCATAGGAAGGGCGTTCCACAGCCGGGGGGCCACCACAGAAAAGGCCCTGTCTCTCGTCCCCGCCAGCCGCACCTGTGAAGCAGGCGGGATAGAGAGCAGGGCCTCCCCAGAAGATCTTAGGGTCCTGGCGGGCTGATAGGCAGAGATACGTTCGGATAGGTAGCTTGGGCCAGAACCGTTTAGGGCTTTAAAGGCCAACGCCAGCACTTTGAATTGAGCCCGGTAGCAGATCGGCAGCCAGTGGAGCTGGTGCAGCAGAGGAGTGGTATGCTCCCTGCGCTCCGCTCCTGTTAGTATCATGGCTGCCGAGTGTTGGACTAGCTGGAGCTTCCGAGCCGTCTTCAAAGGCAACCCCATGTAGAGAGCGTTGCAGTAGTCTAGACGGGATGTAACCAGAGCGTGGACTACCGTGGCCAAGTCAGACTACAATATTATATTATTCATTGGTTAATGATTTTTTTTCCAGTTTGGTATCGGGCTACCTGCAAATCCCTTCTGCGCATGCAATGTGCGATCCATTCCACTTTTTTCCACATGTCAGGAACAACTTGAGAAACTGCAAGTCGCTTCTGTTGTGAGAGAATTGGCTGTCTACAAGGATGTTGCCCAGGGGATGTCAGGATGTTTTACCATCCTTGTGGGAGCCTTCTCTCATATCCCCTCTGACATGAAGTCAAGTCGTGTCCGACGCTGGAGTAATGTAATACAATATAATACTACTAATAATACAATAGTATGATTATATATTTTATATTACATGTAATATTACTAAGAATATTAGAGTATAATGGTATAGTTCAATATAGGTAAAGGTTTTCCTCTGACATGAAGTCCAGCCGTGTCCAACTCTGGGATGTTGGTGCTCATCTCCATTTCTAAGCCAAAGAGCCGGCGTTGTACATAGACACCTCAAAGGTCATGTGGCTGGCATGACTGCATGGAGCGACGTTACCTTCCCGCCGGAGCGGTACCTATTTATTTATTTATTTATTTATTTACAGTATTTATATTCCGCTCTTCTCACCCCGCAGGGAACTCAGGGCGGATTACAATGTACGCATATATAGCAAACATTCAATGCCAAAGACACACAACACATATAGTCAGAGGCTATTTAACTTTTTCTGGCCGCCAGGGGAGCTGCCGCTTTCATCATCCATCTGCGACACTGATGAAGTACTTCCGCATTCCCCGCATGCTTTTGCTGGAGTCTTTTTATGGCCTCGTAAATTAGTTAAATTAGCCTCCCCACACATAGGTGGTACCTAATTTTCCAACTTGACAGATGCAACTGTCTTTCGGGTTGCAGAGGTTGCCAACAAGCTACACAATTGGTCAGAAGCTCACTCCGACCTGGGCTGGCTTCAAACTCATGACCTTTTGGTCAGAAGTGATCTTAATGCTGCTGAAACTCAGACAGCTGCACCACAGTCCCGGTGCCTGGTGATCTACTCACATTTGCATGTTTTCGAACTGCTAGGTTGGCAGAAGCTGGGGGTGATAGCGGAAGGTCATGCCGCTCCCTGGATTTGAACCTGCGACCTTTCGGTCAACAAGTTCAGCAGCTCAGTGCTTTAACCCACTGTGCCACCGGCGGCTCCAAGGTAAAATATAGATCAGGGGCCCTCAATCTTTTTAAACAGAGGGCCAGGTCACAGTCCCTCAAACTGTTGGAGGGCCGGATTATAATTTGAAAAAAACCATGAATGAATTCCTATGCACACTGCACATATCTTATTTGTAGTGCAAAAAACACTTAAAAACAATACAATAATTAAAATGAAGAACAATTTTAACAAATATAAACTTATTAGTATTTCAATAGGAAGTGTGGACCTGCTTTTGGCTGATGAGATAGGATTGTTGTTGTTGTTGTTGTTGTGTGCTTTCAAGTCGTTTCAGACTTAGGTTGACCCTGAGCGAGGGCCGGGTAAATGACCTTGGAGGGCGTTTGGTCTGGATTTCAGTAAGGCCTTCGACAAGGTCCCTCATGACCTTCTGGCAAACTAGTCCAATATGGGCTAGGCAAAACTACGGTGAGGTGGATCTGTAATTGGTTAAATGGACGAACAAAGAGGGTGCTCACCAATGCTTTCTCTTCATCCTGGAAAGAAGTGACGAGCGAGTGCCGCAGGGTTCCGTCCTGGGCCCGGTCCTGCTCAGGATCTTCATTAATGACTTAGATGAAGGGCTAGAAGGCAGGATCATCAAGTTTGCAGACGACACCAAATTGGGAGGGAGAGCCAAGACTCCAGAGGACAGGAGCAGGATTCAAAACGATCTTGACAGATTAGAGAGATGATGGGCCAAAACTAACAAAATGAAGTTCAACAGGGACAAATGCAAGAGACTCCACTTTGGCAGAAAAAACAAAATGCAAAGAGACAGAATGGGGGACGATGAGGCCTGGCTCGAGAGCAGTACGTGGGGAAAAGATCTTGGAGTCCTCGTGGGGAGGAAGGGGAACATGAGCCAGGAATGTGATGTGGTGGCAAAAAAAGCCAATGGGATTTTGGCCTGCATCAATAGGAGCCTAGTGTCTAGATCCAGGGAAGTCATGCTCCCCATGCTCTATTCCCCACACCTGGAATATTGTGTCTAATTCTGGGCACCACAATTCAAGAGAGATATTGACAAGCTGGAATGTGTCCAGAGGAGAGCGACTCAAATGATCAAGGGTCTGGAGAACAAGCCCTATGAGGAGCGGCTTAAGGAGCTGGGCATGTTTAGCCTGAAGAAGAGAAGGCTGAGAGGAGATATGATGAGGGCCATGTATAAATATGTGAGAGGAAGCCACAGGGAGGAGGAAGGAGGGAGCTTCCTTTCTGCTTCCCTGGAGACTAGGACGCAATGGAACAATGGCTTCAAACTACAAGAGAGGAGATTCCATCTGAACATGAGGAAGAACTTCCTGACTGTGAGAGCCGTTCAGCAGTGGAACTCTCTGCCCGGAGTGTGGTGGAGGCTCCTTCTTTGGAGGCTTTGAAACAGAGGCTGGATGGCCATCTGTCAGGGGTGATTTGAATGCAATATTCCTGCTTCTTGGCAGAATGAGGTTTTGTACTGGATGATGGCCCAGGAGGTCTCTTCCAACTCTAGAGTTCTATGATTCTATGACCCTTGATGTAGATCATCTAAAAACAGTAGAACAATAAAAACCACCTGAGAGTGTGCAAAAAAGACCTCTTCCCAGTGCCCGGTGTTCCTGGGCCTGTCTGGTCTCCTTGGCACTGCCTAGTGCGCAGTCCATCCCTTGTGTGTCTCCAATTTCACTATGACAGGCTCCGGCAGCCCTGGCTGGCCTCTTTGGGCTTTCTGGAGAGATGAGTGGGTCAGCTGAGCATGCCTGTCAAGCGGCCAGGCCCCCCTGCCCTCCCCGGTGGCTTCTCCCTTGGGCGGCAGAGAGAGGATCCCCGGCCCCTGCTCTCTGGGCTTCTCCCCCTGGGCCCTCACCACCCCCCGGCGTGCCCACAGCCCTGCACCCAAGACCAAGACCTTTTGCAGCGCGCTTTCCTTAATCCCCAGGATTCTTTATTTAGGAATTAATCTTTCGTCACAGTGGGAGAGCACCGATGGGGGACCCGGGAGGGGGGGGGGGTGTATACATTCATCTCTGGCGTGGAGGGCTAGGGTTGCATGGGGTTGAGTGTTCCCTCTCTCCTGGCCTGAGCTGAGCGGCTTCCCTGTTCTTCCTTGGGGCAGGGAGAGTGGAGACGCCGCCCGGCACAACCCCCATGCTCAGAGAGGGAGTCAGGGAGCATAGCAGCATGGCTGAACAAGAAGGTAGTGGCTTGCAGGTGCTTCTGTCTACTCTTCAGGTAAGAGGATTTCAGAATGGTTGGAGAGAATCTTCTTGGAGTGGCTGTGCCTCCCTCCCTTCCTTCCTTCCTCCCTTCCTTCCTTCCTTCCTTCCTTCCAAGACAAGGCATGACAACTGCACCAAAGTGTCTGCTTTGAACATTTCAGGCCCTTCTTCTTCCCTCCAACGGAGAACCAGCGCAGATCAAAGCGCGTGCGGTCACACCGGGCGCATACAACGAGGCTGAGCTCCAAGCCAGGAAGTCTGGTTTCAAATCTCGCCTCTGCTATGAACTCATCAGCTGGTTTGTGACTCTCAACTTCAGCCCTCTCACAGCAAACGGCAGGAGAAGGCTGGGAACCCGACTTGCAGGGTTGTTGTGAAGGCTGTGGGGAGGCCGCTTGCCAAGTGCTTGGAACACTTTGAAGGATTATATCAGCAATGGAACGATATTATTGTCACATTATTATTTTCCAACCAACCCCACTGGTTTCCCATCCCTTGCAAGGTCTATTGTGGGCTTTGGACTTAGAAGAAGAATGATTTGTCTACATGCTAAAATGTATATTTAACGTCTTTTTGACTGGGTTGTTGTAGATTTTTCGGGCTATATGGCCATGTTCTAGAAGCATTCTCTCCTGACATTCCACCTGCATCTATGGCAAGCGTCCTCAGAGGTTCAGTGTACTCTCTGGCTGTAGAGTAAACTACAACTCCCACTATGGTAAGTCAATCCCCTCAAATCCCCCCAGAAGGTTGACTTAGTCCTGGGGGAACTGTGTGCCAAGTCAGGTCCAGGCTCATCTTTGGTGGAGTTCAGAGTGCTCACTTATTGTAGGTCGCTTCTGGTGTGAGAGAATTGGCCGTCTGCATTACTAACTGTTGTAAATAAGTAGTATTGTGTTGCTGGATTTTTTTTTATCATGTCAGGAGGGACTTGAGAAACTGCAAGTCGCTTCTGGTGTGAGAGAACTGGCAGTCTGCAAGGACGTTGCCCATGGGACGCCAGGATGATTTTGATGTTTTTATCATCCTTGTGGGAGGCTTCTCTCATGTCCCCGAATGGGGAGCTGGAGCTGATAGAGGGAGCTCATCCGCCTCCCCCCGGATTTGAACCTACGACCTGTCGGTCTTCAGTCCTGCCGGCACAAGGGTTTCTCAAGTCGCTCCTGACATGACAAAAAAACAAACAAACGTATTGTAGGTGAACTATAAATCCCAGTACCTATAATTCCAAAATGTCCAGGCCAATTCTCCTCAAAACCCACCAGTATTCAAATTTGGGCATATCAGGTATGCATGCCAAGTTTGGTCCAGATCCACCATTGTGAGGTCCTCACAACCTCTGAGGATGCTTGCCATAGATGCAGACAAAATGTCAGGAGAGAATGCTTCTAGAACATGGCCATATAGCCCGAAAAACCTACAACAACCCAGTGATTCCAGCCATGAAAGCCTTCGACAATACATCTTTTTGACTTTTTTTCAAAACATTAGCATCTTGCAAACTGAGCATCAAGTCTATATTTGAATCTAAACCAGGCACGGGCAAACGTGGGCCCTCCAGGGGTTTTGGACTTCAACTCCCACAATTCCTAACAGCCTCGGGCCCTTTCCTTTCCCCCCTCAGCCACTTAAGCCCGAGGCTGTTAGGAATTGTGGGAGTTGAAGTCCAAAACACATGGAGGGCCCAAGTTTGCCCATGCTTGATCTAAATAGATACTTGGGGGTGGCTTCATAATATTAATAATAATAATAAGATAAGAATAAGAATAAATAAATAAAAACTTAATTTAATTACCGCTCTATCTCCCCGAGGGGACTCAGAGTGGTTTCCAAGTAACATCATCGAAACATACGTATCTTAGAGCCCCTAAGTGGGTTAAACAGCTGAGCTGCTGAACTCATTGACCAAAAGGTCGCTGGTTCCAATCTAGGGAGTGGGGTGAGCTCTTGCTGTCAGCCCCAGCTTCTGCCAACTTAGCAGTTTGGAAACATCCAAATGTGAGTAGATTAATAGGTACTACTCTGGTGGGAAGGTAATGGTGCTCCACGCAGTCATGCCAGCCACATGACCTTGGAGGTGTTTACGGCTTAGATATGGAACTGAGCACCACCCCCAGAGTCAGACACGGCTGGACTTAATGTCAGGGGAAAACCTTTACCTTGACTACATAACTTAGAACAATGTTTCTCAACCTCGGAGTCAGAACCCCTGGGTGGGTCACAAGGGGGTGTCACCAAAAATGAAAACACAGTATTTTCTGTTGATCATTTGGATTCTGTGTGGGAAGTTTGGCCCAATTCCATCATTGGTGGGGTTCAGAATGCTCTTTGATTGTAGGTGAACTATAAATCCCAGCAATTACAACTCCCAAATGTCAAAGTCTATTTCCCCCAAACTCCACCAGTTTTCATATTTGGGCATATTGAGTATTTATGCCAATTTTGGTCCAGATCCAGCATTGAGTTCACAGTGCTCTCTGGGTGTAGGTGAACTACAACTCCCAAACTCAAAGTCAATACCCACCAGACCCTTCTAGTATTTTTGTGTGTGTTGATCATGGGAGTTCTGTGTGTGCCAAGTTAGGTTCAATTCCATCACTGGTGGAGTTCAGAATGCTCTTTGATTGTAGGTGAACTATAAATCCCAGCAACTACAACTCCCAAACGTCAAAATCATTTCCCCCCTCCCCAACCCCACTAGTATTCAAATTTGGGCATATTGGGCATTTGTGCCAAATTTGGCATATCAATATTTACATGACGATTCCTAAGAGTAGCAAAATGACAGTTGTGAAGTAGCAACGAAAATAATGTTCTGGTTGGGGGCCACCACAACACGAGGAACTGTATTAAGGGGTCGCGGCATCAGGAAGGTGGAGAACCACTGTCTTAGAATCTTCCAAAAGAATATGAAGTGTTAGTTGGCCTCTCTGTCCGGCATTCCTAACATGCAATAGGAAATTGAACCTTTTATTGGATTTTACTTTCATGGGCATTAAAGATGATTACTCCCATGCATTGATTATGACTGAGCATGTCATAGATTCTCCAGCGTTCTGGAGCCGTAGGTGGTGGGAAATGAAAGGCAGAGCATCACCTGTACTTCAATGCAGCAGACTTATTATTTGAGGAGTGATAAGGCATATATCAGGTATCAATAGGATCAATATGGCCATAGAAATACTGCAGCGGGGTTTTAATTAGGATGGGGTGGAACTAAATTTTGGGACTAAAAGATGAGTCCTATATTTCCACCCATCCCAAGGCTGTACTTTTGGAAACTAATCCATATTTATTTGAAACTAGCTTGGGTACCTGGTGTTGCTTGGATTTGTTTTGTTTTTTAAAGCCAGTTTTAAAATTGTACAAAATGCAAAAGGTTGTGGGTGAACTACAACTCTCATCATGCCAGGTTAACCCCGAAACACGCCACCAGTACTTAAAGTTTGTTATGTTGTGCAAGTTTTGCTCTAGATGCATCATTGGTGGGGTTCAGTGTGCTCTCTGGCTGTAGGGTACACTACAACTCCCACCATGGTAAGTCAGTCCCCTCAAATCCCTCCAGTAGGTTGACCTAGTCATGGGGGTTCTCTGTGCCAAGTTAGGTCCAGGTCCATCTTTGGTGGAGTTCAGAGTGCTCACTTATTGTAGGTGAACTATAAATCCCTGTACCTATAATTCCAAAATGTCCAGGCCAAATCTCCTCAAAACTCACCAGTATTCAAATTTGGGCATATTGGGTATGCATGCCAAGTCTGGTCCAGATCCACCATGGTTTGAGTTCATAGTGCACTCTGGATGTAGGTGAACTACAACTCCTCTAAATCCCTCCAGAGACCTCCAGTATTTTTGGTTGGTCATGGGGGTTCTGTGTGCCAAGTTAGTTCCATGTTCATCTTTGGTGGGGTTCAGAGTGCTCCTAGATTGCAGGTGAACTATACATCCCAGTACCTACAACTCCAATAAATCATGATACATTCTCCCCAAATCTCTCTAGTGTGTTCAGTTGCTGATCAATTCCTCTGTTTGCTGTGTAGGAAAAAGTAAAGGGAGAGGCAGTGGGCGGAGTCATGCAAATTCCGCACCAATGGAGAGAGTCAGAAACACTGGGATGTCTGTGGTGGAGGAAAAACAGAAAATCTAGGATGAAATTGTCCAAATATGAAAGCCTTAACTTGGTTGGTGGGCAGTATGGTGTTTGTGGAGGACATTGCCAGGGCTCTTGGATATATTCAAGGGGTCATGCAAATTCCACACCAATGGAGAGAGTCAGAAACACTGGGATGTCTGTGGTGAAGGAAAAACAGAAAATCTAGGATGAAATTGTCCAAATATGAAAGCCTTAACTTGGGTGGTGGGCAGTATGGTGTTTGTGGAGGACATTGCCAGGGCTCTTGGATATATTCAAGGGGTCATGCAAATTCCGCACCAATGGAGAGAGTCAGAAACACTGGGGTGTCTGTGGTGTTGACTATAACTTGCATTGCAAGGCATTGACTATAACTTGCAATGTCATTGGAGGGAGGGCCTTTGGTCTCTCCAGGGAAGTGGGAGCTATAGCTGTTTGTGAAGGCAGGACAGTGGTTCCTACTCCTGCTTAGTGCTTCAAAGTGATGGATTCTTCAGGTACAGGAGTTGGCTGGACAACTTTCAGGGATGTTTTAGTTGTGTCGTTCTGGCATGGCAAGGGTTGGGTGGGACAGGGCTTGTGATGCCTTCCCCGTTTAAGGGTCTATGATTCCATGAAGAGAAAGCAAAGAAAACCCACCGGAATCAAAGAAGAACGCCAAGAGAACAAGGGACACCCAGAAAGAGCCTTTTTGAGAATCGTAGGGAGTGAACGTAGCTCTGTAGCAGCAGACCTGTCCTCAAAGCAAAAGGTCCGCACTTTAACTTCTATCACCTCTAATAAGAAATAATCCGGCAGCAGGTGTTGGGAAAGAGAGTTAGATGAGTCATAGGCACATTGAAGGATTCTCATCTCCCACTGGATAAATATAGTGATGTGATGCC